ATATTGAACAAATTTAATTTAAAAGGAAGCTTTCCAAAAATACATTTTGGATGCCAACTGGATCTTTCCGCTGAAAAAAAAAACGCGAGACAAGAAATTAAAATTGAGTCATTTTAGCTACCAAAACGGTTAAACGTTTGATTAATTAAAGCATAGTTTGGTGTTTCTGGAACACTTCACTCTACATCGTTTACTTGGTCATTAGTCACGTTCCCTACATAATCCTTGAAACGACATTCGAAGTCCACCCAAAACACAACACAGTTTGAAACGTTCACTATTGAGGTCACTTAGTTCCAGATACTAATGCCTGTGACTGATTAACAATGAAAACATTTTTTTTTTTCATTTTCTTAATGTTTATTTGTTAATGGTTATTTATTTATTTATTTATTTATTTATTTTTGTCTGTTTGTTCTTCATATTATTTGCCATTAGGCAAGATATTCGATTTATATCGTCAACATCCTGTTCCTTGACTAATGCAATCAATTCCAAAAACATGTAAAAGTTCCGTAACTCTGTTTTTGATGAAGGTATGACGTCACTGTGTACTAATTGCCCTTCACACAGTCAATTATCATGGAAAGATAATATAAGCGAGGACAATTATGATTCAAAATACATTACCGTCACATTTAACAGATGCTCTGTCTTTAGTTAGGGTTCAAATTTTAAATTATAACTAACAACACTATCAGTGTTCAGCTTCCGATAACAGAACACATCCTCCCTCGTCAGGTAAGGAGACCTGCTAAGAGACACGTTAAAGGAAGCCCGATATATGAATATTTCCAGACAGACTGGAGTTGTTTAGCACATGCATACGACTGAAAATTTTTAGAATATTAAAAAAATGTTCTGTAAAATCTGAGATATGAGTATAAGGTGATATGTACCGGCTAGCTGTACATATCCTCTGTTATATTAAATTTGTGGTACCGAATTCTTTTTCTGTACAACTACATAATGCGAGCACACCAAGTAAATGTTGTTTCTCTGTGTAATCACAAAAGTTTTGATGTCATCTTGTCTTTAAATAACCAGTGATCTATATATTTCAAATTCGATTTCAGCTACCGTTTTGTGAATTTTCCATTTCTAAAGCAAAATTTCTCCATCTCCATCCTATGGTGTTTATATGTCGAAGTTGATTCGACATTCAAAAGCCTGTTCCTAATATCATGACTGTCGCAAGATGTCGTCAATTGACAAAAAAAAAAAAAACTCATAACACCGGGTTTTGAGATATTCGTGTTGATGGAAACTATGTTGATTTTTTTACGGTTGCAATAGTGAACCCAGCAAGAATTATCACTTTTCGCTGAGGCTGGACATGTTTGATCCTCGCTAGTTTGCAAGTTGGTTTCGTTACATTGATCAAGATTTACATCACGGGTGATTTCGAAGAAGCAGAAGACGCTTTCTCTTCTGGAACACATTGAAATTGGATTATGATTCTATACACGTTGGTATTTTCTTTTGTAATACAGGTACAGAAAAAATCGAATTGGTGTTTAAATATATTTTTGAGAGTGTTGCAGGCAACATTGCATCTAGATAATATTGTAGAGAATTTAGAGATGTAATAAACATCACGTTCATCTGTGTATAATAAAAATTACACCAGTACCTCATATTTACACGCGAGCTTAATTGTCAAGTTTAATATTGACATTTGATTATCTAAATGCTAATCTACCTCAGCTTTATAAAGATATGATATGCTACTAATGTCTGTTTACAAAAAAAAAACCTAATTCGTGAATAAACATACAATGTGTCAGTATGGTTACGCCCGGTCTGGGTCGACACTGTGAATCAATATCTCTCATCTTAATATAGCTTTTCATAACTCTCCTATTTTAGTTATAGAAAACACTACTAATTTGTGTGGTTAGTGAGGGCTGGATCACGGTAGAGTGCTTAGGAAATGTCAGTGATGTAATGGCAATGTTAATGGAAACGGGTTTTTTTTATATATTTTATATTCCGTAGGATAACGACATTTTTTTACCGGCGAGAATAACGTTACAATGTTCTGCACAACAGGGAATTCAATATTGCTGAAAAGAGAAATAGTACAGGAGACTGGAAGAGCTCAAATTGGCAAATATTTACGTGTTGAAAATTCAATTTCTGTCGAGAAATAGGGAAAATCTTAATTCAATTCACGTACAGTTAGATATAAAATTGATATATTTTGGTCACTATTTTATCATACACAGCTGGAAAATGCCAAAATGTGAACTGAAATTTGATCCAAATAAACATATATAAGCCGAGAGCAAAGCTTTATTAAAAGAAGTATTTACACTAGGAATATTGAAAAAGAAAAGAAAACAAATACCAAGAATGCTTTAAAAAGGAGCGTACCACTTCCAATCTCTTTTAGTTCTCATAGTATGAATAGAAATCTATATTTTTCATATTCCTTTATGTATGAAGTGGACAGCACAGTGCACATTAGCCCCTTGGTTTGTATGCCGTTAAAGTGTACAGGGACGGGAAGAGCTATAACGGAAGACATCTTACATTTGTAAAAATCCACTGGATACACACTTACGTGTAACGGACGAGCATGTCTAGTAATAGAACACGACAAGTGCAACTCTGTAATTCATCATGTCAACATAATTTTACTGTTCTCAGACCTCCTCGGACCAAAGAACGCTCTTTACACCCGCCAAAACATCCTCGTATGTTTTAGCTTCCTTTCATCAATAGCTAAATGGAGTGCAGTCTCAGCTAAAGATCGATGCAGATAAATGGACTTCGGAATACCTCTTGTCACTTTCAGTTATATTCATGTTCTGAAGACATGACGATCGGAATACATAGTAGTATGGCCAGGAAACTTTTTAAAAAGGCTATTTTACAAATAATATAATAGATGTTGAAACCACTAACTGTATAGTTAGTAATTTCCAGGGTCAATTTTTTCGCGATTTTCTTTGGAAAAACTATCGAATTAAACTTGATTGAGTTCAGATTTCGCGATCTGAATTTAAAATGACATCGAATACAGATGTATCTCATTATTTCACGGATTAGATTTATTTTCGCGATCACGTTTACATGCCGCGAAATAGCGAAAGCAATGTACAAGCGGTTTTTTGAGGAATATTTCGTTCGGATACCGTAAAATCATTAGTTTTCGTGGGAGGTTTATTTTTGTTGATTTTTGTGTGCTGAAGTCATATTCCACTAATTAACATATCGACGAGCCAATTAACTGTTTAAATTAGTAGATTGTTTGTTATGAAAACAAATGCCCACTAAAATGTATTTGCTTTGAAAATTAAGATATCTGATCCCACGAAAGTATACGGTTTTGCAGTACTGAACTATCATAAAGCTCCTTGGAGCCTTTTTATTTTAAGTAGAAATGTCAGTTTAAGATAAAGATCAACGAGGCAAATATATACAATCCATAAATCTGTCCTTGGGAAACCTTCCCGGACTCCAGACGTGTAGCTTAAATATTGGGTTCACGTGCCCTCTTCGGTGTTCCAAGTAAAAATGCATCTTATGGGGTTAAGTGTTTTAAGAGCATACCTCATATTGTGAAAAGCAAGCATTCGCACTCGAGAGTATGTATATGTAAGTTTCAATGACAGATTCGTTATAGTTATAAACATAAGTACAATTGGGAGAGGCTGCCAATATTCTGAATTGCATTCAAATTTGGGAGACAAAAAAACATATTTATAGACATATTACCCGATTTCTTTCCAATGGGAATGTGACTAGCACATAAAACTGAAAAAAATTTAAAAAATACATAATTGTATTAATAGCAACACAACTAACAAAAAACAAAAACAAAAAACAAAACAAAAACAAACAAACAAACAAACATCCCTTACCCAACTTCCAAAGAAAAGCAAGTAGGAAACAAATAAGAAAAACAAAACAATGACAAAAAGCAACCAAGCATACATACAAAAACAAAACGAAAACACGAAGCAAAAGACAAACAAATAAACATATTGAAATTAACCTATACAAGCATTGTTTAGTTAAAGGTATCTATGTAATATACACATATGTTTGATAGAGATCAAACAGTATAGCTTCGGTTACTGATGGAATATAGACTCGTTAAAATGTATATATGAGAAGACATGTACATTAGAATGGAATGATCATTGTATGTATTTGACGGTATCTAGAAACAGCCCCTCGTCTTTTCTCTCCCAGCAGCACTCAAGGTCGATTAGTCCTATATGCGGCCAATCAGAAATAAATTATGGAATTACTAAGGCAACTGAAGACAAGCATTGCACTGGAAAATTGAAACCGGAGGTCTCGTCTTAATATACGACTTATTTTCTCGTACGTATCGTTTCTGTAATAGCTCGCGGTCTTCTTGTGAGCTTTGTTCCGTATCATAGCAAGTCCGATACACGCCGCAGTACCTACCACCGCCGCCGCTACCGTATTGCAGCCTATCATCAGTGTCATGTGGTTAAGGTTGAATTATCAATCACCGTTACTGTAGATAAATTGGGTTAAATTCATGGTGTTAAGCTGGTGATGCTATATTTATTTATTTTGTATGTTATTATACCCTTTACGAGTGTGCAGCACGTGGCCTCAAATTAATATCAGGTTTATGTGACATTTACTCTATCATAGTTATTTCTGTATTAAATTCGTGTTTATAAAAGACGAAATCATATTTCTCACTGTAGATAATATCCATATGGTATATTTGATATCTTAAGCATCAAATAAAAGTAATGAGAAACAGGAATTAATAATTAGATACATGTATTTAATTTCCGAGTGAAAAAACTTAGTAAAATTTCGCGTCGTGTTTCTAACGTCACTAAATATAAGTTTTTTTTTCAGTTTTAAATTTCTGTATTGTAACCCACTGCCATCTTTGTTATGAGAACATACAAAATTGTTACTATAGTTGCAGAATTATATTATTTTTCTTTATCAACGAGTTAAAGTATGGTTGATGAGTTAGAATTTTGTATATTACACAGGTGAACGATACTGCAATGCTACCAGCGACATCTTCGGATGTTGGAACTACACACAGATTGGAACTACCGCCACTGTCCAGTGTCCAGATATTCCGGGTATGAACCCAAACGGTAGGTGGTCTTGCAACTCAGCCTAATCTCAACGAAACGCTTACCTCTAACGAGAACCTTGAAAAATTCATTAGAATCGGACATGTCTAGTATAGTTTGACTTAGAATTACCCCAACAGTAATTACCCAACTAGATTCTAGCCAATTTTATTCGAATCTTAACTGTTTAAAGTACCGGAGACACTTACAGCTAAATTACTTCGGATACTGTGTCGTATTTCATGAGTTACATAACTTGATTGTGATGGACGTATCTAGCCTTAACCCTACTTATCCCGCGTCCGATATTTCCCTTTCATGTTAATTGTTAAGATCTTGGGCATTACGCTGATTGATGTTTATGACGTCACATGATGCCTCGGTGGTTAAAAACTTAACGTCCGAGTCAAAATAAGCATGTCTTTTGAAGAAATCAATGCGAGAGAGTTAAACTCGTTAAATGATCAAGTAGCATTTCAAATTATTGAAATCATTTGATAATTCCGTATTATATCCGTAAAAAATCATATATAGCATTAACAAGAAAATAGGTTTTTCTTTGACTGTACCCGTATATTTTGAAGTTTGGCTAAAAAATTATCATGTGATTTTTTTTCTTTCAGAATTTGCCTACAAAAAATGTACAGACAATGGAACATGGTGGAGAAGTATATTCTTGATATATAAATACATTGCTTAGGAAACGTAACCAAAGTTGCTATTACGTCATATGCCGGACTGATACAGTAAAGTCAAAGTACTTCAGTAACAATGAGGTAAAATAAAAATTAGTACTAACAGAAAGGGAAAAGTTTGAACATTAACAAGAAAATCGGTTTTTCTTTTGACTGTACCCGTATATTTCGAAGTTTGGCTGAAAACTTATCATGTGATTTTTTCTTTCAGAATTTGCCTACAAAAAATGTACAGACAATGGAACATGGTGGAGAAGTCCGACCACAAACAAAGAGAAATCAGATTATAGTCACTGTTGGAAAGATATTCATACATTTATAGAGGTAACTGACAAAGAGAAATCAGATTATAGTCACTGTTGGAAAGATATCCATACATTTATAGAGGTAACTGACAAAGAGAAATCAGATTATAGTTACTGTTGGAAAGATATCTATACATTTATAGAGGTAACTGACAAAGAGAAATCAGATTATAGTCACTGTTGGAAAGATATCCATACATTTATAGAGGTAAAGCAGATTATAGTCACTGTAGGAAAGATATCCATACATTTATAGAGGTAACTGACAAGGAGAAATCAGAGTATAGTCCAAATCGGAAGGCATTTTAAAGCATCGTGTTCTTTTAAACGTTTTCATTTGAATACCATCAAAACAACACAATAAAATTTTACGTGGTTGAATCGAGGCGTTGTACATCTGTATGCCTGTCTTTTATGTTTTCAGAACACCAACAGTGGTCATGAACACGTGTATATATTTGTTGGCGGGTACTCCATCTCGGTGGCTATGCTTTTGTTATCGCTTTTTATATTCTGCAGATTCAGGTAAGTTAAAGAACAATCATAGACAGTTACTGTAAAACATCAAAACTATATGCTACTATATATATATATATATACAAATAGTTCACATTCTTCGACAAAAAAATTAAAAGAAAATCCCGGATGTGTACACAATGTTGGTTCCAAAACAAATTCAAAGTAACAAACGCAAGATATGAATAAATGAAAAATGCAAAGAACTGGTGTTCCTAAATGAAATCCGCATTGCCAGTTTTGGTCACAATTATCTGTAAACGCTTTCGATGCTGTGGGATATTTTCAGCCGTTTCTTTAATTCGACACAAGCTATATCGCCCGTGCAACTTACGAATTCTAAATAAGACAACAGGAACAATAAAGAAAAACACTGATAGATGAAAACAATGCCAATAGATTGTAAAAATCGATAGGAAACGAAAGAAAATACAGGGTTCGTCATGAACAAATCCTAACGATCCAGTCTCGGCGATGTCTCGTCAGTAAATGACAACGATCAAAGCGTTGAGCTCAGAAAAACACCACAGATTCCTCACATTTTGTGAAGGTCTGTTGTGCCTTCATACTTGTATAGGCTGGAAAAGATTTAGTGTGTGAATACAATCCTACATATATAATAATCGAAATATGGTGATCGTTTATACGGAACGCAATTTCATGCAACATGTAAATGCTTTCAAAAACAACATGTGATATCTAATGTATGATACCTCGGGCAAAGTACCAAATGCTACTGCTACAGTACAAGCTGTCCTCGAGTGTATAGCATGAAAGTAACTGTAAAGGGGTCAGAACTAAATGCATGCATGTCTACATTTCCACACATCTCTCGTGTCATTTTCCGTCAATACAAACCATCATAAATGGGTTTATGTTTTGTATGTTACTGATAATTGTACGCAGACATACAAGTAAAAATCACCCTGCGGGACCAGCTTGGTATTATATACAGTATATATCGCAAAGGTGGAGTTTTGTAGAGTTGCACAGCGGTTTCAACATTAAAGGACATGTGAATGATGCGAAGGACCTCAAGTATGAAAATCTTAATTTAATAAATTTCATAAAATCTGTCAAATATGCCTTTAAAGGGGGGGCTAACATTAATTGAATGCAATCTTGGCATGCAGGATTATGACAAAGCTCGAGGACTAATGCAGGTTGCACTGTGTAAGCTTGATACTAGTACGTAGCGGCCTATATTGCCTGTAACAACAACCTATCTTATTATACCGTAGCTGTCTGTTGAAGAAAAAACAACTGAATCCTCATTAATTGTGTTCACTGATATTAAATCGTGTTTGAAGTGGAAGGCGCAATGTTTGATGCCTATCGTAGAACATCAAGTGTTATTTGTGATTCATCAATGGTTCACTTCCGCTTTCAAACTCTGTCTAGTTTTATAAATGTTGTAAACGAAACGCAGAAGTTGTTGTATTAAACATTATAGGCGTAGCAATGTACTTTCTAACCCGGCCGATGAAGATTTGGCATGTTTAATTTAGAGCTAGATATCAGACTCTGACGGGTTAAACCATACACACAGCGAGATGTAATTAGCGAAAACGGGTCAGTTCTCTTAAAAGTGTTTGAAAAGCAAAATAAATTAGCGAGATCAATTGTAGTTATCTCCCCTGGTGGTTTGCACAGCTATGGAATACGTTCTGTATTTAAACGATATAAAGTACACTTGATCTATGCCATTTATTTCCGGTTTTCTTCCTTTTACCTACGAGTAAATAAATAAAGGCAGCGGAAATTTTGGAGTTCATATGAATCTCGGTTTTCTAATCAAAAATCGCTTGGACAGTAATCTGGTCCAACACCTACCGGGATACGTGAATTAAAATCACATCAAAATAAATAGCCAAGATTAAACTTTGTTAGTATTTCTATACACGTTATTAAGCCTACTGTTGAACGGTCGATGTTGAATGATTCTGTCAGGTTTGAGGGTCTGTAAGACCCAGATCATTTTCGTAATCTATCAAAAGCTTATTAGTTTAGATAATTGACATAGACATCATTAATGTAACGACAAAATACATTCCCGACGCAAAAGTGACTGGCTAAAGAGATGCGATTCCTACGGAGAATATATTTTCTCTAACGGCGATTTGATGTCGTAATTTATACCGTACTTTTAGGTCGACAACCTGAATTAGATTGAAATTCACGCGTTAGGTAATTGCGTAGGATGTACTAAGGGACCAACCTGTCACTAGGTGGTGAAATAATGTACCAAGTTTTTTTTTTTTTAACTCTTCCACATTTTTTAACATTCCAAATTATTTGTCAGATATTTTCGAAACGGTGACTTTTGAGACAGAAGTGGGAATAATCACATGAATCGTTAGGTTAAAGAGATAACTAACAGCAACAGCTCATCACTATGATTTCAAAGGAAATTAACAGACCAATTTTAAAACTAGTGTCGTGTGAAGAAACCAATGTTATCACTTCAATGAGAACGATATTATTGTTGATTAATTGAAAAGGTTTATCAGAACTGGAAAGGACATTTAAACTATGCATGAAGTTGTACTGAGGATTTACTTTACCCTTTCTGATGTCCGCTGAATCCGTTGCCCTATATCCTTTGTACGATGAATTATGCTCCTCTAAAACTTTAGGGGGAGCATATAGTCGCCGCCTTTCTTGTCCGTCCGTCCGTTCGCCCTTTCATGTCTAGAACATCACTTTGCCCACAGCTGAGCAATGATAATGAAACTTGGTGTATATATTGGTCATAATAAGAGAATGTGTAGTGTCCCAAATCTAGGGATTTTGACCCGTCAGTTACGGAGTTATTGCCCTTTGTTAAAATTGACTTGTCCGAGAATAACTTTGCTTGTAGTTAAGGTAGGATAATGGAACTTGATGTATGCATCGATCATACGAAGACAATGTACAGTGTACCAATATTAGGGCCCTCAACCCCTTAATTACAGAGAGTTATCACCCCTTCCTAAAATTTTGTGTCTTGACCATTGCTTTGCCTGCATTTAAACTAGGATATTGAAACGTGATATATTTACATCAATCATATTAAAGCAAATGCAGTGTAACCTCCTCAGTACAGAGTTATTGCCCTTTGTTGAAATTTTGTGTCATGAGCATAGCTTTGCTTGCATTAAAATAGGAGCATGAAACCTGGTGTATACATTGATCATACTTTGGAATGTGATGTACACAAAGTACAGGGTCTGCAACCGCTTAATTACAAAATTACAAAAATTGCTGGCTGACTCCATTCAGTAAATGATATGTATCTGTAGACCTCTCTTGTACAATGTATCTATTGCCAAACCATTATACTATTAGTATCAATCTGGTACCCTGTTATAGGTATAACCTGGTATTTATGTGTTGCCCTACCATTATACTATTGGTATCAATCTGTTACATTACTAATATCTGTCTGTTACCTTGTTACCCTAATATAGGTAATATTATAGGAGTTGCCCTACAATTCCTACTTTGTATCTGTACACCTAACCTGTCTTTTTGGAGTGAGATATGTGTTACTCTATCCATGTATGTGTTGCGCTATACTATACACACTTAATTCATTTTCCTTCTCAGTCAACTCCGCTGTGACAGAATCACTATACACAAGAATCTGTTCTCGTCCTATGTGCTGACGGGATTTTCTTGGATCCTATACATGTTGCTAGTGGCTATTGACGGTCACGTGATTCAGGAAAATCCGGTAAGTTTCACGAAAAGAACAATCAAACTTATCAAAAAATATTGCTTGTAAATTACAAGATATCCCAACTTTCTGAGAAACACTCCTGTTTATAACCATATTTTTCGACGTCCGACCTCGACCTTTTCTTCGGAACCCGAGCAAAGTCTTCCTAAGTATTTCTTTTCAGTTTTGACAAGCTACAAACATTTTGACCTCTTTCATTGTTGTGTTCCCAGATATGGTGCCGGATGATCCACGTGTTTGCCCAGTACTGCGTTGTGTGCAACTTCTCCTGGATGTTCTGTGAAGGCCTATACCTTCACACCATTATGGTCCGCACTTTTGGTTCCACGAAGCACGTGCTTATTGCCTGCTACTTCATCGGCTGGCGTAAGTACCCTCTCAAATGCTGGTGTTTGTGTCCACTTATAAACTAGTGAAAATATCCTCAAATAGGCTGAGATTACAATGCTCTTATTGGCTGGCTTAAATATTCTTTCATTGGGCTGTCGTAAACATCCCTTATTGACTGGCTTAAATATTCTTTATTGGGTTGTCGTAAACACCCCTTATTGACGGACTAAGATATTCTTTCATATGGCTGTCGTAAAACACCCCTTATTGGTTGACCTAAATATTTTTTTCATTGGGCTGTCGTAAATATCCCTTATTCGTTGGCGTAAATATCCTCTACAGGCTGCCGTAGTAAATATCCTTTGATTAACTAGCATATATATGTATTTGTTTGAAGGTGTAATTATCTTCTTATTGGCTGACGTAAATATCTTTTCATTGGCGGCAATAAAAATATGCTGTTATTGGCTGACCTAAATATCTTTTCATTGGTTGCAATAAAATATGCTGAAATTGGCTGACGTAAATAACCTTTCATTGACTGGTCTAAATTTCTTCCTATTGGCTGACGTAAATATCTTTTCATTGGCTGCAATAAAAATATGCTGAAACTGGCTGGCGTAAATTTCTTCCTATTGGCTGGCGTAAATATCTTTTTATTGGCTTCAATAAGAACATGCTGTTATTGGTTGGCGTAAATATCCCCTTGTAGGCCGCCGTATTATCCTCGTACAGGCTGATGTTAGTATCCTGTTATAGGCTGGAATAAATATGTTCTTACATGCTTGTGCAAATATCCTCTTATAGACTAGGCTATGCACACGTTGAATCTGGCAAGTATCCCGTTATAGGTTGGTTTAAGGCTGGTGGGAGTACTGTTTTATAGGCCAGTAGTAGGATACTCTTCTACAGACTGGCTTGAATGTCCTGTTAAAGACCGGTGTATCATTCTATACGTCACTGTAAAAGCTCTAACTGATATATACTGGTGTTACTGTCCTATTACACGGAGGAGTATCCTGGGTTTGTTTATCCTTTACATAACTTAATTGTGTATACAAATCGTCTCCGATCTGCCCTTGTTGTAAAGACTTATTTCCGTTTAATTGTGTAGGATATCATCTTTGCAGATTTGTTTACTAATTAACCTTTATTCAATGGTTATGTATATTATCAACTATTAACTATTGTATATTTCAATATCCAAAGATTGATCCCAGAAAAAATTAAACATAAATTCTTATGTAACAGATTTACAGCATTATTATTACATTGCTGTACAAGCATAGTCTTGATTGACACGGTTAGCTCTATAAACCAGTAAATACAATATCGGGGACTTTATGTCACTCATACCAAACAAGACAGCACGTAACCTTGTGCTGTCAGCATTGCCTTCTAACAAACACAGGGTTCAACATCTTTCAAGATAGACTTTACATTAGGTGATTCTGCAACAAACAGCACTAAAGATCTAAATCCATCAACAGAATCCACCAATGTGCTATATGCCTGCTTCAGGTTCTGACAGTGTGACAGAAATGGGTTGCAACACGCCAAGTTAATGTCGATTTGGAGAGAACAAGAAGTTTTTCAATATTGTGAAACATTTTATCACCTAAAATGATTTTAAATTCCTTCATTTGTGTGTCCATTTTTTTGTGAAGTATAAACTCTTAGTACAGGTAAGATTAAAGATATCGTTAAACGCAGGTAAACAGCTATTTACCATCAATACATCAAAACAATCACAGAAAAAAAAATCGATATGTCAATAAAAAGCTTAACCCATTTCAAAATCGATATAATAAGGGGAAATTACCAAAAACGAAAAACTTATACAACAACGAATGAAAAGGTGCAAGGAAAATACGACCAGGTGTTCCGGAAGAGTAAGCGTCTTCTGTTTTATCAACGACACCCGCCATGTTAGGTATGGTCAGCCCATATAAATAATGCCATCCTAGTGTCATAAGATGGTTAAAAGACATAGCTTTAGTAATATGAATACTCTACTCTCTAGTTGCTTGAATATATTTGTATAGTTATGGCAGGAGGTTCTTTAAAGTAGGTCGGCAATCATTTCTTTGTTATTTTCGAAGGGCTACGACGGGACCACATATTATCCCTTTATTCGCTATGAAGTGTATGATTGTAACTTTATGATACGAAAGTGATGAAATATAATACGTAAGCCTGGTTTTATTTTTATACAGTTTGGCCGTTCGTGCTGGTGGCGATATATACAGGGATCCGGGGCTCAGCTGACGATACCCAGAGATCAAGGTAATATAAACACTGGGATTCCCGTCATACTTCTAAAACATAAACATAAATAATGTCACGTGATGTCATTTAATATACCAGTAGACAAGCATTACCGTTCATATCATCTCTGGTTACATTCAGTTACCCATTAGTATCATCTAATTTTCTTGAATAACGTACACATGTCTTCGAATTACACAGGGCCACCTATGAGGTGCAGTGTTCATAATTCGAACATAATGAGTACATGATTAGAGCGTTATGCCGGCATGACCTTGTAATATATAGCCTATGTAACCATTCATTTACCAATATGCTGTCTGTAATATATAACCATGCCAAAGCCATGTGGCATTCATATCATTTATGAACAAAATTATCCAATGTAATTGATCAACAAAACATCACAATTCAAATGCTATGTAGATCTCAACATTCATTGAATGCAGTAATTTTATTATTTATACCGAAATTTTATTGATAATTAATATAAAGATAATAAGCTCCGCAAATTCTTGATATACATATGTCTGTAGGTATATATAACGGTTTCCGTTGGCATTCATATTGTATATGAATGTCACTTTTTAGTCCCAGTGAAATAGGTTTCTATACGTGTTAATACCAATCCAATGTGTGTTGATATCACTCCTATATTTATTGATAATAATTCGTTCTATTTCATTCAAATATATAAAAGAAACAGGCAATATCACTATATTATTAACTTGACTTGTAGCTATAGGAAAAGTGACAATCCTAGATGGTAGAATTCGTCTGACCCTTTACTCCGTTTGTCATTATAGTTGCTGGATAGGTGAGAGCAGTCTACAGTGGATAATGTACGTCCCGATTATAGTATCTATGGTGGTAAGTATTATCTTAAGTCTTATCTTGGTAAATTATGATGTATAACTTTGTATATCATGTTGTTTGATCGTGGTCACTTAGGGTGTATATTTATATATATCATGTTGTCTTATCGTGGTCAGTTAGGAAGTATAACTATTTACATCACGCTGTCTTATTGTGGTCAGTTAGGAAGTATAACTATTTACATCACGTTGTCTTATCGTGGTCAGTTAGGGCGTATAACTATTTACATCACGTTGTCTTATCGTGGTCAGTTAGGGCGTATAACTATATACATCATGTTGTCTTATCGTGGTCAGTTAGGGCGTATAACTATATACACCATGTTGTCTTATCGTGGTCAGTTAGGGCGTATAACTATATACATCATGTTGTCTTATCGTGGTCAGTTAGGGCGTATAACTATATACACCATGTTGTCTTATCGTGGTCAGTTAGGGCGTATAACTATATACATTATGTTGTCTTATCGTGGTAGATTAGGGTGTATATATATATATATATATCATGTTGTGTGTTCGTGGAAAATTAGGAAAATAAGTTAAGTTAAGATTGGTAGTTGTGAGTTGTGAGTTGTTGAATGGAAGTTGTTGGTTGGTAATTGTAGAATGGGAGCTGTAACTCAAGTTTCGCAAGAGGTGCATATTACACGTGTTTTATCTTTAACCATAATGTCAACATCATTCTCCGGCTTGTCTCGGATGTCATTCTCAGAAGTACATATGCTGCACTGAAACTATATTTGATGAAGGTAGAGATCAGGAACATTATTGTTCTCATTAATTTTTACACCCTCTCAGTACTTTAATAGAGATCGGAAACTTCGAATTCAACGATTAATTCCCACACCAACTCCACTTTCCAACAAAACAGATATCACTTCTTAACCAGCAGTGTGAAACTTAAGACACATCGTTAATCAGCAATTGCACTTTATAAGATAGTTTGTTCCTACAATTAATGATTTCAGTATTATGAGCTAAGGATATCAGGAAAACTTCACAGCAATAGCATTTCCTTAGTTTAAATAAAACTGTCATAAAAGGACAATACAGATGATTTAATATCGATAAAGATATAACATAACAGCATGATATTGACATATTCAGATATGCTACCGATTTATATTTATATTTAAAAGTAACTTTTGGATGTGAGACTTAATATCTTTACACATAGGTAAGGAAACAAATATAAATCGGATATCAAATTAATGTCTGTTAATTAAAGTGTTTACAATTACACACAAAATATCATTTTTTATAACATACAGAGTGTCATTATTTAACTAGGAATGGTTTACAAAAAATTCTGAATCATTTAATCTGCAAAATCAACCTGCGTTAGTTTAAGGTATAATTTTGATGGGTATGATTCGAAGACGTGCTAATCAGCAAAGTCTGTGATATCATAACGCATAAACCTTGGGCAAACAAACAACATCTGGTATTCCTATGGTAACGGAATTACTTAATGAGTTTTGGAGCTGTTCCCCTTTTTATTTCAGTCCGTCTGGTCTTTGCTCTACCCTTAATTAGTCATTTTATTTCTCTTCATGTAAACGGTATAACATAATTGTTTTTATTTATGTCTAAATAGAATTAGTAATGATGATGAAAGAAATCTCCACAAGCTCATAAAACTGCCAAATTTGATAATATTACGATATCTATATTGTTTAGAATGAATATTGGTCGTGTATCGTTTTACAGTTTGGTGTGTAGGACCAACAAAGCTGTGACTGGTATGTAGCCATTAGCTCCACAGCAGATTAAACAGTCTTCAGTGACATGTTTTCAAGATCATAAACACGAAATCAGTGGAATTTTAAATGGTCACTCTTTTTTTTATATCAAATAAGCTCTCTCCGACTCACTCGGAACTCCTCGGGTGTGCTTCACAACACAACACATTTTCATGTGGCGTTAGTCACATTCGAGGAGTTCCGAGTGCTCTCCGACTAGGCGTTGTTAAAATGTTCCTTAATCCATGACAGACTAGATATATACGGTAAAATGATATATTTTCATGATGACCAATTGTTCTTTCCAAGGTTATATATTTCGTTTGTCGGCAGTACTGTTTTCTCGACATTAACTATTTTAAGTCAATTTCTCATTATTAATCATTTCGTGGACATATTAATTCGTCGGTTAGGAGTATAAAACAAATTCAACAGAATTAACACTCTCACTAAACTTGATGATTGTGCAGTTTTTGATATGAAAAGCTGCTATTTTCTGCAAACTGTTGATGAAAGTTACCATGGCCCAAGCCGATATGTTATATATAAAAACATACAGTATATCCTACCATTCTGTTAACGTAAATTAGCCTTACTTCTGACAGCAAAGTAATCCCTTTTCCTAAACACTGGTAAATAGAGGTGTCATGCAGGCTTACTTTCTAGAGTCTGTTTAAACAAAGCTGTCTTGCACGTTTAAACTATATATTTAGTCACCTGCGAAAATGACTGGTTGTTTGACTTATTGTATCATACGTAATTTAGAATATACTGCATTTCAAGATCAGATGAAGACGGTTTCTGAATTCTATTGCGACAAGTATGTCTTATTACGCGCCAATTAAGTGTTGTATGCTGTTCCAGAAATGATAAAGGAAACACGATTTTATGTGTACATTAGAAAATTTTTTCAATAAACTAACTGAAAACATGTATTTGTAGAAACATTTATGAATTGCAGGATTCAAAAACACGCTATGATAGGATCTCGGGGAACTTTAATCAGATAAATGTGTACTGTTACATGCAATAACACGCCATACCCACTGTGCTGATGATATCTTTAATATGAAATAGATAAAAATGATTTGAAATATACATTAGGTGGATATTCAATAAAAGAAAAAATAACCACTGTTTGTAGAAACGCTTATAAACTTATAGGAGTCAAACACACGCTCTGATAGGATTTAGAGAAAGTTGAACAAACTACATCGCAACTGTAACATGCACATCCGCTGTATGATGTAAACTATTAACCTTGTAGTTTAGTTTATTAGTGTATCAACATAAATACTTTTAATTGGAATAAGATTTAGGCTTTACATAATGTACGTGAAGATATGGTGTTTTATGTCTAATCTCAATGGCAAGGGGGCCCTGTGTATTAACCAACCGAAACAATTGAAAAGGTTGATATTTTTTTAAAATGTTATTACAAATGTTTTTAGTGTATTTTTTCTTAAATATTCTGATCAGCACATCAAATATTTTAGTGTGAAAACGAAACACATTGTGTGGCAGGTTAATATCTAATCAGCCATGGCAGCCTGCCTTCGGATACTGGCAAAACACAGATATATCCAGCATGGACTTTACTTGAAATTGTCAGATATAGGAAAATGTATTGAATTATTAATAGAACAGAACCGGTGGAAGTTTAGAGTGTGACGTTTCGATGACTACACGGTCACCTTCATCAGACAAATGACCAGTGTGAAACTTTTTCGGCTGCGCTATAATTCTAGGTACACTAAGGTCGAAAATAGTGTGACGAGATGGTAAACAGATTATAGACAAAAATTACACCAGATAGTAACAATGTGCTGAAGTCGATTTGGCTACGCTTTCTTTAATTCTTGGTCAAAGATGACCTGTTTTTAAGAACCTCTATACTACTGACATTACCAACCTGAAGAAAATGTTCCAAAATATTGAATTGTAAATCTAATGCATTGCCTATTTCAGATTTTGGCATTTCGTTCGAGCATTTAGGATTTTCCTCAGTCGCCTCTTCTTGATTTCAACATTTAGGCCCTCACCATTACTGATGAGTCCTACAAGGACGAAACAGTTGTAAGATGTAGCATTATAGTGACGAGTCCTAGAAGGACGAAACAGCTGTATGATGTAGCATCACTTACGAGTCCTAAAAGGACGAAACAGTTATATGACGTAGTATTATTGACGAGTCCTAGAAGGACGAAACAGCAGTGTCAAATAGTCATATAAGATTCTGTATAACCAATGAATTGATTGCGATGATTATGTGTAATGTGTCTTAATCGAATGAAACACGGTAAATGACTATAACTTTAATGTCATAATATATAGCCAATAAAATAGAAATGATAAGATAATTCAATAGTCATTAAAAAACTATGATGGTTAAATGTAGCAATATAAAGCAATTAGGATATCAGCTGTAAAATACGATAGTCATTAATATACATTGTAATATTCTTACAGTTATAATATACGACAGCCATTAAAATAACTATGGTAAGCCATTAAAAAAACTACGGTAAGCCATTAAAAAACTATGGTAAGCCATTAAATTAACTATGGTAAGCCATTAAAATAACTATGGTAAGCCATAAAAATAACTATGGTAAGCCATTAAAATAATTATGTTAAATAATCAGGGCGATATAAAGTACAATAGCAGTGATAATATACGGTAGTCGTTACCATAGCAATGGTAATTAGATAGAGTAATATCTGACCATTAAATTAACAATCATGATAATGTAGCAGTCAATGTTTAGTATCATATAGCTTTTGAAATAATGTTATGGACATTAATTTATAGTAACTAAAATAAAGGAGTGAAGTAATATAGAGAAAGTATAAAATGATATAAAGGAAAATTATATTATACAGTCGAACTTCGTTATCTCGATCTCTATGACCGCATTTATTTGTTTGGTCTCTCTTAAGTCGCATACGCGGATAACTCGAAGTTTTAAAATAACGAAGTTAGACCTATACGACTGAAATGACTTATGATCATTTAAAGGATTGTATTTTAAAAAATGGCCATGTATGTTGTGTTCGGAGCCAGAGAATGACGTTGAATACGGAAACTGAATAGTTAGAATCAAATTAGATCATTAGATAATAGCAATAAATATCCCGTTCAATCAAAGTCTGGGATTTTAGAGAATACCCACTTAGTATATAGCTATATGATATTTTAGTATATTGACTTCCATCCCAAGTATTACCATCAAGAGAATTGCATATAGCTTAGGCGGGCGCATCAAATGAATTTATAATGGGATTGAATACATCAATCAAATTTCGATGACAGCCCGTATGTAAAATGATACCTGAACTCATCAATGCCATACTTCATGTTTTGTGTAGGGTATTGTTGAGGCTAACATCAGGACAGCGTTTCCTTTATATCTATCTAAAACGTCTAGTTTTGTGTCATGAAAAAATGTCTGACCATGGCAAGAATAATCAAAGTAAAGCCATGTTCAATTATCTATTCCAAAATTGTTTGGATACCATAAACACTATTTTGCAATTAAGGACATTTCACACATGGTGTAACTATGCCCAAAGTCCGCCATTAGGTCAATTATTTCAAGATGCATCGATTTTCTCAATCGCAAATAATTTTGAACGCCGAGTCGTCTTCGGACACTGGTTAAAGAGATAAGTCACATGGGATCAGATGGCACGCAATTTCCTTCACTCCGCTTATTAAATGCGGTCAAGCGACTGCCGTTTATGTCAAACGTCCAACACATTTGGCAATGTGCTAGAGTAGGAAATACGTCTCCCGAGTGTGCTAAAACATAGCATCTCCTCTCCCGGAATACTTCGTTTCTAAACGAGAAAATGCACGTTCGCACATTAAATAATCGTTACGTCCCATAAATTCCTCACTCTTGTCAAGGTCGAACAGAATTCTTGAATTAACATATGTTCTACAAAGGCAATGTTAACTGGTGTACATGGTCCGAGTGTTAGAGGAGAGAGGTTTGACCTCTAGTTACTTATATAGCTAGTAATATATGTCTCGTGCAATTACCTAGATATGATTTACGACGTTTGTTCAGGGAATTTATCATCCTTTCCATTCCTACGTGAATTCTGTAAAACCTTCGATAAAACATGAAATCGATGATATAAGTTGTCATTCTTAAGCGTGTTTCTCCATCTTGGTGACGCCTACTAATGTAGTCAACAGTTGCTGATGATAGGTTTTGGAATACTTCATGAACAATATTTCTTTGCTCGTCTAAATGAATTAAGTGTACTGCATAGAGGCGAGCACTACAGACGGTTCAGATATAGTGTTTTCTTAAGAAATAATATTGTACGTCGGCAACCATAACCATATATATATATATATATATATATATAAGGATCACGTTTTTATGTATAAACATGCATGTCTATAAACATTGGATAGTTTTAAAGGACGGGTATAGTGGTAACCTACACGCCTGTCAGCTTGTCAGCCGGGGTTCGATTCCTCGTTATAACGGGTAAGGCGGTCGACTGCCTGATCACAAAGATTTTTCCGTTGTACTCCAGCTCCTTCCACAACAGTAACACGCTTTTCGCGCTTCAATCAAAGCTACCGATATATATTTTCCTCTTTTTATACATTAAGGTCTGTAAGTAGTGTAAGTATAAAACTTGAGCATATATAGAAAAGAAATGCCTACAAAATGAACATGGCGGTTTGAATTTCATAGCAACTGACTAAGCAAGAGAAGATAACTCCTGCCAGTGTTGACGCATGAAACTGCTACTATTTAAACTTCTTAGATAAATTGTTGAGACCATGCATTGAGGATCCGGGACCAAGAAAAATCAGCAACCTAAAAAGTACCAACATCTCAAAATAAGCATATTCCAAACTCAAATTCAACAGAAAAGAAAAGGGGATGGCAAAATATTAACATGAGTTACATATCCCAAGAGTAAGCGTCTTCTAACCACCCGCCATGTAAACTTTGGTCAACCCGAGTAAGTAATGCGGTGTACAACAACGGAACTAATAGACAAACTAACGAGCATCAAACACGTGCAACCTCATATCACACACAGTAATAGAATACTTCTCCATGAGATCACTATGACGTTCGAAACCTTCCTCATAGTTAAACAATTTTAAGCTACACAATTATGTGTCCTAATATTTAGGGCCATATAGGTCGAATTGTAAACGTCTCACCAGCCCTCCGCCTCTAATCGCGGGTTCGAAACCTACATGAGGCAGGACTTCGTCAGGTACGGACAACAGCTTTCCTCCATCACCCAAACCTGGCACGTCATTAAAGGACCATGGCTGTTAATAGGACGTAAAGCAGTAATAAACTAAAAGTGCAGTAATCACTTCTGTCTTGTGTACTTTTTTTAATGTTAGAGGCAGAGATTTATGGATAAATCCCAGTCAGTTTCCTCCTATGTAAAACTGGAATATCGGTTAAAGAAGCAAATTGTGTCCATGCTGTCTTCATAAACAGCGATCTTCGTGTATAGATCATATATAGTTGTATGCGGTTTTTCAATTTCCCTACAGCACTTATAAAGTATAACTGGCTCTTGCATGACAAGATATCATTGAGATTGTGAATACATAAAACGCCAATAGCCAAGCCTTTTGGTAGATGTGAAAGCTTCTATAAAATAGGAAATGCGTTAAGCGTTTTATTGTTTTAGCTTATCACCAAGAAGATCCAGGAACAAAAGAAACTTGCGTTGTGGGTCAAGCGTTCAAAGGCCTCTGATCAGCCAGTAATTGGAGTTTCGTGTTATGTGGTTGTCAGGTCATAGAAAACTGTCACTACACACGTGGCCCATATTGATGTATGGTTGTGTATTAGCACATTAAAAGTGTGATAAAACATAACAGCACGTTACCAAGGTAAATAGAATTCGTACTGTCACTGAAAGGAAAAACAAAGTCGAACCATCCAAAATACGCAAAACGAGAATATCATATTCCGTAGAAGACAAAAATACCATAGTCTTTATTCTAAAATTATGTGATACATAACAATTACGAAATTGATTGAATAAAGGAGTGCGCCGTCTCTTCTAGCTTTTGACTTTTCTTCCGGTATTTTTTGTATTTGTTTGTCTCAGTCGCCTCCTGGGCTTCAAACGTAAGACCCTTAGCATCACTGACGAGCCCAAGAAGGATGAAACAGCTGTATGATGCAGTTTAATCTATTCCGTGATACTAATGTATCTTATCAAAAATTTATCAAAAGTTCATTTTGTAATGTTTTGACATACAATAGTTAGCATTTTGTTGGTTTTATATTTCGTACAGTCTTGGCTGTTGGTATTTTCTCACACTCGTTTCTCATTATAAAATGGTTTATCCTGTATAAAGGAATGCAATAAAAACTTCAGAATGTAGTTTAAGACAGCTTTATAATCAATGTGGTGACTAACATTTCATAAAATCATATAAATGTTTTATTTCAGGCCAATTTCGTTTTCCTGTGCAACATCGTCCGTCTTCTGATCACAAAGCTGCGACAGGTTCCCGAGGCAACACAAACCAAGTATGTACCACAGAAAAAAAAAACCCTAGATGAAATAAATATATACTGCATTTCGTGTGTGTGGCTATGGACATTCGTTTCTTTAAATAACTTTGAAAATTTTGCCGGAAAGCCGTTATATATATTCGGTTTGTTGTATTATTCTGATATGAGACTGTGCATGTTTTGCTTTGTACATTTATAACGTTGACATATCCAAATTGAGCCAGAGATACTTTTAGATAGTTTTACATTTAAAAATAAGCACAGACCATTTGAATTTCCATGCAATGAATACCCGGAACAATTAGATGTCATATATGGTTAAATGATTCTAATTTCTGTAATATGTTACGAGACCTAAAATTTAGCCAAACCTAGTACCGGGTAATGCAAGTTGTATTAATTAATATACCTTAACCCTACATCACGTGACAGTTATTGGAGTAATACAATACTTAGGTAATATCATTGAGTTTGAAATGCAGATTATTTGTGCCATACTTAACCTGTTATTTCAATGAAAAAATATCTGTCATCAATCGCTTTTTATATGATGTTAGGCGATTGTGAAAGTAAAGAATCTAGTGTCTCATGAATATATTTAGAATGGTAAATGGTAGTTGATCTTTTCCTGTCAAAGTTGCGTTCAGTTAGATGCAAAGAAAGATTGAGTGAATATTCTGGACGATCAATAAATGGTAGTAAAATGACACTAGATGGTTAACGTCCATTTTCTTTCTTTTAAAGTCTGAATATGTATACATATCTTATGATGTGTTTAAGGACAAATTAGAAAGTAATTTTGCTTGAACGATGTTTTTAACTAACGAAGTCGTGGACAGCAACAGGCATGTCATTACAAAGTTTTATATTTTTATCGGACTTGGGTTTAAAGCTATTGTTACTTTTATCTCGTCTCTCAGAGAAGATGGCTCAAATTGGATTCTGGCTCAGTTTGGATAATACCATGGCAGAAAAGCTTTCCAACAGCTCATTACACACTTTAACCAGAGGTTTTATCACAAAACTCGCCTATAACCGCGATTGTATTACAAGTATTTGAGATAACTGTTGTCCGGACAGTGATGCAGAAAGGTTAAGACAGTAGTATGTTGGAAACTAGTCTGACATAATTCTGTTGTTATATTTAGAAAATATTTTTTTAGTAATGTTGATGGGCCAAGATAGCAAGTGAAACTGGTGTAATATTTATGATTCACACTTTTATTGAACATGTAAATTCAACCCTTTCGATAGATATCGACCAGGAATAACACGAACTCCGGAAGCTTTGTCCTATCTGCCATATTGACCTATTGTTAAAGATTAGTTTGGAATTAAATTCATCAATTAAAAATATTTTATCTTCTTCATTTGATACTATAAACCCTGGGAAGCAGCATTTAAAACAACAGTCCCTCAACATACCTGCTGTTTTACTTTGGTAACATACCATTTTTTGCTGTATCTGATATTAGTCAGAACAAAGGACATCCACTTGAGCGGATGGTATATGCTAGGCATAATCTCTTTGCAGTGATGGGATGCACTCAGAATGTGCTTTATCTGTGCCATGGAAGACACAAATGACTACAGAGTGGTCAAATGTCAACATGAAGGAAGTCAATAGTTTGAAGTATTGGTTTCATTTCTCCTCTCCTTTGCATGGAGTATAGATTTAGACCGAGTGGTAGTGTTAGCCTGTTAAAGTAGTGGAATCGGGCGTTATTGAATCGGGAGTTTACGGTGGTTGGTCTTACCGAATCGGGAGCTAGTGGTGATGGCTAACTTAATCGGGGTCTTATGGTGACGGGAGTTTCTTAATCGGGGTCTTATGGTGACGGGAGTTTCTGAATCGGGAGCTTATGGTGGTGCACCTAACTGACTCGGAAGCCAGTGGTGATGGTTAACTTAATCAGGGGCTTTTGGTGACGGGAGTTTCTGAATCGGGAGCTTATGGTGGTGCACCTAACTGACTCGGGAGCCAGTGGTGATGGTTAACTTAATCAGGGGCTTTTGGTGACGGGAGTTTCTGAATCGGGAGCTTATGGTGGTGCACCTAACTGACTCGGGAGCCAGTGGTGATGGTTAACTTAATCAGGGGCTTTTGGTGACGGGAGTTTCTGAATCGGGAGCTTATGGTGGTGCACCTAACTGACTCGGGAGCCAGTGGTGATGGTTAACTTAATCAGGGACTTTTGGTGACGGGTATTACTAAATTTGAATTATTGGATACAGTTTGTACTGAATCGGGAGGTAGTGGTGATGGTCATAACTCAGACGGTAGTTTCTGGTGACGGGCTTTGCTTAATCGGAATTGACATCTTAACCTAAGTGACACCTAATAGTCATTATTCATTTGGTATATAACTCATGTCTCATCTTATGAAAAGAGTTCTCGTTTTGTAAAAAATAAATCCATATTCAATGGCCGCCTTTTAGGCAAACATATGGTCTATTCTGGTTTCATGGTAGGATACCGTTTTCTAGAAAGATTAACTGGTCTTGTTTGAGATACAATATATTGTTATGATTTCCCAGACTTATCATAACGCTGTGGAATAGAGAAGTCACGTTAACCAAGGTTGGTTTTATAGAACACGGCTGGAGCACGATGCATTTTAGTAGCATAAATTAATGATTTGCCTTAACCTGCACTAAGTAGTATTATAAAATTAGAAAAGGGATCGTGCATAAGTTTGTTATGATTATATTTTTACCATGTCTCATTAAACGGTTCTCTGCATGTTCTGTCGATACTTCGCATGGTGATAACGTTAACAAATATGTACTTAATACGAAATATTACTTTGTATGAGAACTCGGCGTGTGGTTACAATTCAATATATTGACGTAAATATGGTTCAGTGATAGAATGTTGGCAAATAACTACAAAACCATATGATAGGAGCATGACTTAACTAGTGTATGGGTTTTACATTGTCCACCTTCTTTAAAACTCATCGAATCTCTTTACTTGAATAATCAGATGTTTCCTTGTCACAATGCACGTTAAAACGTATATACACTTTTTCAGAATAAGATGTTCAAAACAAAACACTCTTTCCTCTCTTTATTTTCATAATCATTATTTCTAACTTCCTTCCGTGTTCCAACACTGAGGATAATAATCACGCACGATATGTATCTTAATTCATATTTGAATTTGCGTATTTTAACCTTCCTAATTGCTTCAACAAAAGTTCTTGAATGTATTCATTCGCGCATATTCCTGTTTATGATCGTATCTTTCCTAAAGCGTCGGGTTTATAAACCCGGGATCTTCTCATCCTCAAACCCGTCTTTGGCATACATTTTGTTATTTACCTTGCACGTGGTATCGTCAATAGACATCTAATCTAACTCTGTTTTGAAACGATAACAATCATCTATTTGTAACAATGTATCAGTAAGGTATGATGAGCGGTCTCTAAAAAGAAAGAATGTCTTTAACAATATGGACAAGAAATGTCATCAAGCTGTTCGCAATAACGATCCCTCCTAAACGTCATCGACACTTTTGACAAGGAAATGAGAAATATTTCTTTTTCTTAAATATATGTCCATTTTTACAAAGACTTACCACTCTTTAAAGGGTCGAATCCTCACTTTGTTTTACATAACTACTCTACAATGACATAAAGATGTAGTTTTATACACAATTCCTGGGCCAATTTTGATAAAGCAATGTGTTCTGCTCACCACTAGGAAAGTGTGATATGAATAACTTGACTCTGTGCAATGTAAACATATAGATACTCGTTCGTAGAAACAATAAAAAGTCTGTCGTCACAACATAGAAATGAGCCCTTTTATAAAACATTCACTTTTCTTTCATGTGTAATCCAGGAAGGCTGCACGGGCCACGTTAATCTTGATTCCACTGTTGGGATTACAGTTCCTCCTAGTCCCCTTGCGTCCGGAGATTGGGTCGGACACGGAGCCAGCTTACCATTACATCAGTGCACTTGTCGTCTCTTTACAGGTATTTATCAAAATTATCTTATATTTTCAAACCACCAAAATTTGAAACAATATCACATTCTACATGAAAATACAAAACAGATGCAGACCAGTAACAGCTCGTTTACACATAGCAAACCAGTAATGTTTGTACCAAGAATTACATCACTGCGTAATGTAAGCCATTTTATCACTCAGATTTAAAAACGTCACATAACAACTTGTTAAAAATCAAGGTATTATGGAACATGTAAATCATTTCAAAAGCGGCTAGAGTAAAAAATACAGGACATAATTAGTGTTTATCACTCGTATATGTAAATGTCATTGATTTGTCCTGTAAGTCGATAATAGCATCGATAACTTTGAAAATTATTCTTCAGTGTTAGATATTAGTATGTTCTACAAGGAAACTACGTGTATGTATGTGATGTGTTTACATAATTTTTTCAGTACTGAGTAAGGAACACGAACAGCTAGTCTAATAACTTTTGTCATCATGAACTTAAATTCAGGGAAGTCACATCGCTTCAGATTTACATATCTATATACCTACTCAGTCGCTTACAGTTTCAAAGAAATGTATACTCAGGCCATTTTTCTTTAAACTGGTTTAAATCGTTAAAAAACAGTTAAAGAATAACTTAAATATTGATGATTATATCCCACTTGCAGACTTTCAGATATTCAGTTGAAAAATGTTGATTCAAGTATCATATTTTTCACCAAAATATTTTTAGTCTGAGCATAAAATATATATTTGAGCATGAATACGGTTTAATGAATATTGGCCGAGGTGTTCCGAAAGGATAAGCGTCTTAAGCTTCATCGACGACAACAGTTTGATAGCATTGTTACATGCAATCTGTCGTATAGATTCGTCTTCTATGACATTTGTATAACCAGGATAAAGAATATGCATTTGAAACGTTTTGTGACCTATACTGTAAATATATTATCATTCGTTAAAACCGTACGAAAATTACGACAACAACAAAGGCAACTGTAACATATACAAGAACAACAATAAAATACCAATATGTAATAAAGTATAAAAATTACAGGTTCTATACCTGTGATAAAAACTCAAAAACCGTCGTGTGTGGTCTAAGGATAACACTTTTCGGTATAAACGTTACGTGGTATATAGGCTGAGAGCCACACATTTGCAAAATTAGACATAGCGATTAGGAACTCTTTTGAAATGAAGGCGATTTTAGACTTGTCATTGTAAATAGGTACACATGGTGACAAATATCAAACTACTAGTTGATAGTGTGTTTACAATCTCAACATGACCATATCATCTTCTGATGTAACCGATTATGACTTGAAAAGTGTCTGTGAATGTGGACTAAAACCTATGGTCCGTCTTCAACAAAGTGTGAAACTAAACCACGATTTAACAACAAATATGATCACTTGTTACCATAGTGTAGGTCAAACTCTAGCGAGAGAGATTCAGGCAAGAGAAACAATTCGTCTGTAAACACAATTACACAAATTCAGACGTCGTGCAAAAAAAGTCACATAAACATATAAACTTTGGATTGAAACACCTGAGCTTGTGCCTTTAAATATTTATTTTAAATCTTTGGAAATTACATACGAATTTCTTTTCAATAAAACACGCTTTGACATCTGATGCTATTATAAACACGATTATCAGAAAACCAACGTTTCCGAAGGCGACGACTATTGCACTGCACACGTCATTTATCCAGAAAAAAGGCATGGCTGTAAATAACACTGTTTACACACAGAAATGTTCAATCAATAACGCCCTTCGAACAACCGATGGCTAAAGCTGGGGCGTCGAGCAAATTGTATATATTGTAAGTTCATGAATTTTGCCTGGGGCAAGAAGTGGTTACAAAGTGATATTTACTAACAAGTACGAATCGAATTACTACGCCGTCGTTGTATCATGACAATTAAAAATAGAACCGGAAAGAAATGATGCCTTTGTTCTTAGAAAATTCGATTTTGTACAGGAAATTAAAAAAACGGTTGATTTTTTTCCTAAGTACATAAAATTTTGACAAATACAAAAGGTATGGATATGGAGAATTGTGTTTCAACACAAAGAGAATAGGGGAAAATTTTCTGAAAAGATTGACATGCATTGGTTCCAAATGGCACGATGTGAGAGATGATGCTGAATACTGACAAAGGAACAATGACAAAACTACTTTTTTGTTGGAAAATTAAATCTATGACATTTTCAAAGATTCGACCTAAAAACAGAATGCAATTACCAACATGTACCTTCATGCAACATCCACTGTAAAAACGGAATCTTAATAAGGATGTTGTTTCTATTTTTAGGGGGCGTTTGTTTCCACGATGTACTGTTTTTGCAACAGTGAAGTAAGTATAACGGTATAACGTGAATTACGAAGGTGACATAAATATGAGCGTTTATATCTAGAATGTTCACGTGTCAAGAACGTGACGGATGTTCTCATTTCAACAACGAGCTTTCATTGGGCCTGTATCAAATTGTAACATAAATGTGGTTTAAGTTATCTGAGAGAAACGTATTGTAAACAATGAAAGCTGTCATTAGCTTAGTGTAATTACCCAAATGTGATGTTAGATACAGAAAATATTTGAGATAGAAATTGTAAACAAGTTATACTTCTCAATAAGATAGCGTTTGGAATACAGAAAATATTTATGATAGAAATATGCTATCAGTGTAGATATGCGACTTGGTTGTTTGAAATCTTCGACATTCTTTTATTTCCATTATATCCAGGTCATATCTGTTATCAAGCGGAAGTGGTATCAACACAAGGTCATGTTTAGTGGGAAACGTAGTCGGACGTCATCAACAATTGCTGCCACCACGTACACATTTGTGGATCACGTGTCAACGGTACAAACGTCAATCACGTGATAGATGTCACGTGACACGAAGAGAACTATATATATATAAGATGGACGAGAATAATTTATGAATTCTGTATATTGTTACATTTGTTATCTAGATATCATTGTTGCTATTTACACAGTAAAAAGCCATGTCAGAAATAAATCATGTAGCATTTACAATCTGCCTCATCATTCATTTTATCTCAGCTTATAACTGATATTTGTAGAAGTCCGAATACTCTCACAGTCCTCAAGTGTTAATAGATTTCAAATTTGAAAATGTTTACATCTGTATCTATATTTCACCACAGCAAAACCTTTAACGTCATAGAATATTATGTGATTACATGAATATTTATTTCATTCACATTACCGGTATGTTTGATGTACGTGTTCATATTTATTATTCGTTATTCTATGTGTGTGAAATATGGCATTGTCCATTCTTTAGAATCGGTATATTTGGTGAATATTTTTTTTAAAAAATCATTATATTCTTGTATATATCATGGAGTAAATTTGGCGGAGATATACAAGCTAAAAAATGATTAGCAATGAATATACGTCACACGAATCTGTTCATGGACAAGACTGACTACAAACACCACCACTGCGACGTCTGGTAATGAGAACACACAGGGATTGTTTTTAAACCCTCACAAATTCACATCAGGAGAGAGAAAACATAGCTATGTCATTAGTACACACAACGACTGTCTAAACAAGTGCTGATATGACAATATTTATTAGCTATTTGTCCCCCCAAAGTGACGGCATATCAGAATTTGTTATCTTAAAAAAAACTGGTATGCGGTGATCAATTTTTATCATCGATGGTTTGTGTTTTTATGAAATTTGAGGTCACATTCCGTCCTGCATTGTCGTGGTTGTGACCTTGGACAAGACACCATTGCTCTGAATATCATGTGGCGTACCTTCCGCAAAGTGTTCATTGAGGTAGTCATCACCTTCAGCAAGGTGAACCGAACTCTAATTGGAAAGTAGTTTACGGGGCGATAAGTCTAGCAATAAAACAACCGACATCATGTTGATAGACGTAGGCTATAAATACACTGTCATGTTATAAGAACAGAGGCATTCGTCTCCGTATCCGTTTTATTCGGGCTACGAAAGGCATATCATAAACGAGATAATAATTTATGGTTTAATTGATAAAAGAAACACTATATTTTAGGTAATCACTCAGCTAGTGTAGTTGCCGCATGTCTAGCATAGTTTGGGAAAAGTCAGTGACAGCGACCAACGCCTTTAATTCGAAAACTATGATTTAGCCATTCCTTAAGCCTATGCGCTGATCGTACAAGACAGACTGATAAATGGTCCAGTCAATGCCATGTTTACATCATCGCTAAAGAAAAAGCGCCATCGCAACAGCGATTGGTATTTCTGGACAATTTGATTGGATCTAGTTGACAATATTACAAAAAAAATAGCATTATGAAGTGTATGTATTATCGGAAAACATCGTTTCTGATCCATTTAAGGAAACAGAAAGACATTAATTTCAAACCATGGGAAACCGAACCCAACTAAAAACAAGAAATCATAAGTAAACTAATTTATATTTCAGTCATGAGTGTACGAAAGACACACACGCGAACAACACCTTTTAATATCAATATAGATTTTGATAGAGTAGATTAAAATCATGACTTGACTTTAAGTCCATCGGCCGTCTTTGGTCCGTCAGTGATGATATGGGTCCAATTTGTCAAAAAAAAAAAATAAATAAAACTTAAAGATACACCACAGCCAGATACAAAGGTACACTATAGCCAGATGTAAAGGTACACCACAGCCAGATACAAAGGTACACCACAGCCAGATATAAAGGTACACCACAGCCAGATACAAAGGTACACTAAAGTCAGATACAATGGTACACTTAAGTCAGATACAAAGGTACACTTAAGTCAGATATATAGGTACACTAAAGTCAGATACAAAGGTACACTCAAGTCAGATATAAAGGTACACTCAAGTCAGATACAAAGGTACACTAACGCCAGATACAAAGGTACACTAAAGTCAGATACAAAGGTACACTTAAGTCAGATACAAAGGTACACTTAAGTCAGATATCTAGGTACACTAAAGTCAGATACAAAGGTACACTCAAGTCAGATATAAAGGTACACTAAGGCCAGATACAAAGGTACACTAACTCAGATACAAAGGTACACTAACTCAGATATAAAGGTACACTATAGCCAGATATAAAGGTACACCACAGCCAGATATAAAGGTACACCACAGCCAGATACAAAGGTACACCACAGCCAGATACAAAGGTACACCACAGCCAGATATAAAGGTACACCACAGCCAGATAATAAAGGTACACCACAGCCAGATACAAAGGTACACCACAGCCAGATACAAAGATACACTTAAGTCAGATATATAGGTACACTAAAGTCAGATACAAAGGTACACTCAAGTCAGATATAAAGGTACACTCAAGTCAGATACAAAGGTACACTAACGCCAGATACAAAGGTACACTTAAGTCAGATACAAAGGTACACTTAAGTCAGATACAAAGGTACACTTAAGTCAGATATATAGGTACACTAAAGTCAGATACAAATGTACACTCAAGTCAGATATAAAGGTACACTATAGTCAGATACAAAGGTACACTAAGGCCAGATACAAAGGTACACTAAAGTCAGATACAAAGGTACACTAACACCAGATACAAAGGTACACTATAGCTAGATACAAAGGTACACTATAGCCAGATACATAGGTACACTATAGTCAGATACAAAGGTACACTATAGCGCTATAAAACGGTAAAGAACATCAACTCCATGTCTATATTATTAAGATGTGACATACAGATTATATAAGGATACACGTGCAAACTCATCTAATCAGTATCAATCAAATATTAATCAAGAAAAAAATCTGAATCAATCACTTGAGTCACAACTGGAAAATCTTCATTGGCTCAGATTAAGTGGAATCAATCCATAAGTCCAATAAGTACTATGGGCAGTACTGTAACATCTCTGGCAAATTGAAGACAACCATAGTAGTATAACATTACTTACCATAAAGGAAAATGTTTAAACACCGAAATAACTCAGGTAACCAGGTAATCAGTAGGGCTGACGTAGGAAAAATGTTTAAACATCGAAATAACTCAGGTAACCAGGTAATCAGTAGGGCTGACGTAGGAAAAATGTTTAAACATCGAAATAACACAGGTAACCAGATAATCAGTAGGGCTGACGTAGGAAAAATGTTTAAACATCGAAATAACTCAGGTAACCAGGTAATCAGTAGGGCTGACGTAGGAAAATGTTTAAACATCGAAATAACTCAGGTAACCAGGTAATCAGTAGGGCTGACGTAGGAAAAATGTTTAAACATCGAAATAACACAGGTAACCAGATAATCAGTAGGGCTGACGTAGGAAAAATGTTTAAACATCGAAATAACTCAGGTAACCAGGTAATCAGTAGGGCTGACGTAGGAAAAATGTTTAAACATCGAAAGAACACAGGTAACCAAGTAATCAGTAGGGCTGACGTAGGAAAAATGTTTAAACATCGAAATAACACAGGTAACCAGATAATCAGTAGGGCTGACTTAGGGAAAATGTTTAAACATCGAAATAACACAGGTAACCAGATGATAAGTAGCCGCTAACGTAGGGGAAATGTTTAAACGTCGAAATAACACAGGTAACCAGATGATAAATAGCCGCTTACGTTGGAAAAATGTTTAAACAACAAAACCACCCAGGTAACCAGATAAGAGATAGACGCTAACGTTGGAAAATATTTAAACGTCGAAATAACACAGGTAACCAGATAATAGATAGACGCTGACGTTGGAAAATGTTTAAACGTCGAAACAATACAGGTAACCAGAAAAAAGGTAGCCGGTAACGTTGGGAAAATGCATGGTACAGTTAATAACATTTGTATCACAAACGTTTTTGAAAGGAAAGACATTTGTCAACTAGAAAATTATTCACAAAGTAGATAGATGAATCGGAAGCAATAGCTGGCATTCAGGGACGCCAAACTTAATGAAGTGATAAATTTCCAATTTAAGAACGCTGCAATGTTACCACATGAAACAACATAGTAGGCGTGGATTGGCAAGATAACAGTAAGGCAAGAGTCAGAATATAAATGAAATGATCGTTAATCATTGGAATCGGATATCTAGACACGTAAAGGATATACGGAGGTTTTAAAAAAAATGTTTTTTTTTTTTTTTTTTTTTTTTACTTTGTTACACATAATATTATCTAAAAAATTGAAATTGTCATATAAGTGAAAAATAGATAGCAAAACTTCAGAAAGAAGTTTTGGTATAGATTGTCTCAAAACTCTGGTGTCTACGTCTACAGTGAAGAAATGTATATTGTTAAACAGGTACTTCCTATAAGCAACATTATATAATCATTTATCACCCAATCGGCCTTTTATCCATGTGCTGGTGTAAGGGGGTGTGGTAGTGAGGGTGTTTGGTGTGGTGATGTGTGGGTGGGTGTGGGTAGATGTCTAATAGTTTCCCACGTAATACAGGTTCTTTGAAATGCTGTAGTGCGCGAGTATGAAATAGAGAATTGAAATTGATAGCCAAAGGCTAAAATGGTTGAATACGTCAAATATTCTTTCTGTGTGACAAATAACGCCTCAATAATGGTTGACACTGTCACCATATCCTCGCCATCATCGATACAATACAAAACAATTTCCTAAGGACATTGTAATAAAAAAATGTTTGCGACAACTCTAATTGTGGCTTTCGACACATGGAGTAATCTCCAATGTTTTCTCAATTTGTTTGAAAAGCGCCGTGACTTTGGGAGTTCGATTACTTTAGTGTTAATCAAATATATTTGTTAATTACTCATGGTTTCAGGAATTCATTTAAAGCTATTTAATTAACGTTCTCGTTATACATTACCACCGTCTGGTAAAGACCTACAACAAGCGGGCTAGGATCTCGGAAACGAAAAAAAATCCTTAAGATATAAATTCCGTCTTTCTCTTACGGATCTCACTCAT